ATGAATTAGGGGAGAAAGTTTGGAATTTGTCAAAATTTGAAAAAAAAATTGAAAATTCAAAGAGAAGCTTTGAAAATTTAAGAATCTTCGAAATTCACTTGTTTTTATGAATGAGTGGTCTTTTTTGAGAATTTTTCTTCAAAAAGCGTCATTCGCGAATGCAGAATCGTTATCGCTGACAGTGAAATTGTTCATTTTATGGCAGTTATTCAGCGAGAAACAATTGAAAGTAACATTTTTCTTTTGGTTGAGGTGTGCTCACAGTGTAGAGCCATTGCTCGATATGGTCACGAATTATTTGCCTGCTCCGACGGAACGTCATCAGATGCTATCAGCTGTTTTTGGTGATGANGGTGATGATCTCAGCGCTTTGGTTTTCAAGGTTCATCTTTTTTTAAAATGTTCATTTCGTTTTTCGAAGGTTTTTGGATCATTCCGAAGTTGGTTTTATGAGATAGATTTGGGTTAGAGCGGTGGGTAAATAAAGATTACGAGATGAACAGACAAACGCAAAAATATGATCCGGCGAACACGACTGGGAGAAATTTGCATCATAGATTAGAGGATTGCAAGAAATTTTTTCACTCTTGTAATTTCCTATTGTTTCGAATCGTTTTATGAAGAAACAATTTCATTTTAAACTTATATTGCGGCTTATTTTTATGCATTAAAATTGACCAGGTTGGGCACGATCGAAGACGTGGTCCACTATGTTTCGTTCGGGTTTATACGGGTCAAATATCGAATTCTTCGTCAGTCTTCAATGCAAATCGTTCGAATGTTGAGAGTCGCATTAATACATTTGTACCACACAGTGATATCTTACAACCAGTTGATGCTATCAAGGTGGGTAAAAGTTGCGAGGGCAAATTGTTTCGAATCAGAGGCAAATAAGAGCTTTTATCGATGAAAATCTTCGAAAGGAACACATCAAATTGCAAATTTATCACTAAATATTACGTCGGTCGATATTTCCATCATATAATCTCGATGAATATCTCTTTCATTGTCGTATTGAACAAATGTGATTCTGTAAGGAATTTCTAATAGCAGTTCTTTTTTTGGGTCTTTTTGTTTTTAGAAAAAACTGTAGATTGGTTCATTCAGGCAGGAAATATTGGTGTTTTGACGGGTCTTCAATCAACCGTAACCGGCGATACGTTATTGACAAGTGAACATTCGGCGAAATTGGCCATTGAAAGACGACATAAAATTGTTAAGGAGCAGAAAGACAAAATTCATGATACACATCATTTCGGTGCGCACGATCTTTTCATACCTCAGGTATTTTTTATTTATTGTTTGCTTCGAGATTCTTTCTCTCTGGTTCACTGATGAAATATATTTTTCGCGAGTTTACTCCGATTCATGTTATTTGCATAAACTTTAAATCATTCTAACTTTTAAATTCATTCAGTGAGTATGTTTCATTCATTCAGGTTACCGAAATTAATTTGTTTGGTCTCACGGAAGTTTTGATTTTTATATCACTGCACAATCTATAAACAGATTTAGCGTTGTCACAGCGTAAATAATTGATCAGAGTTATAGTAAAGTTTCAACGTCCCGTTGTATGCACCTTGTTCATTCGTTTGTTTGGTTATTCATGCATGGTTATATTTGTTAATTTTTGGTTATTCACTGATTTATTGGTTCATTACAGACCGATGCACCATTGCTGTTCACGTCTGATGATCAAGTAATTTTTTGGTTGCACCTTTTTCTGTTCGTTTTTAGAAATTTTGCACACATATCACTTCATTTGTTCTTTTGAATAGTTCACGATTAAATGTTTGCATCTCCGTAATATCATTCGATTGAGTGAATTAGTGAATTTTTAGACGCGCCGACTAGAGGAAATATCAGAAGTGGGGAAATCCGTATTGTTGACCGGAATCGATGCACCTGATCCGGTTTATTTTTGCTCAGTTGAACCACCATCCGCTGGAGCAGTGCATAATTTCGAAAAGGTTTCTTCCCTTTATGTTCCATTTTTCAATATTATTCGCGTCTTAATTGAGATTATCTTCTCTTGGTTGTATATCTTAAATGGCTTGGTGATTCTAGTTTCAGTGTGATGTTCTCGATATTAATGTCTTTCGCTGTCTAAGATTATATTGTTTTTTTTATTGTGATGCAATGAACTTAAAATGATCGTTCCGCCAGTGTTCTCGTTTGAGAATGATTGAACAGTATCCTGTGAGGCTGTCTNNNTTCGAAAAGGTTTCTTCCCTTTATGTTCCATTTTTCAATATTATTCGCGTCTTAATTGAGATNGATTATGGTTTGGATGTGTTCATGGGACCTTTACAGGTTATAAACTGATCGATTGATTCATCGAGTGATGGTGATTTGCTGCTCAGTTGAGAATATGTTTTGAACATATGATATATTACTTGAATTGTGTAAAGCGATTGAAATTGAAGTCTTTCGTTGGTTTATAGACTAGTTTAGCTGAGTGGAATTGGAATTGAAGTTGCGATATATTGGTTTAATGGACAGCTAGTCATTTATTACAAAATGCTATTTCAGGTTGCCTATCGTGAAGTGATCACAAACACGGCAACGTTCACAACATCTGTCGAAGACACCCTCAGTGATCGAAAGCACACGTGTACACTCACGCTTCAGGTATCACCTTGTTCAAAGGAACGAAAATTCAAATCGGTGTGTTTTTGATGGTATCCGTTCGTTCGGCATTCATTCTTTTCTTTTTCAAACGTTGCAGTTTATTTATAATTTATGATCGGGAGAATCTGAAGAGAAGAAATTGGGAATGAAATGAACGGAGCGTTATTGGTGATGAATTGTGGGAAAGTTTTGTAAACGATAATTTATGTTCAGTAGTTTGTTGCATCAGTTCAAAAGTATTAAAATATTTTGAACGGCAATTAGAAATTCGTCTTATAAATTATATAGAGATTCGGAGTTTGACTAGCACATTCCTATAGCAGTTCAAAGAATTGCATAGAAATAATTTGAAATGTTGATTGAATGAATGACCAAATGTTGAAAAAAATATTCGGTATTTAAGGTATTGGTGAGATTGGACGATGATAGTAGCAAACCGTATATTCGTGCGGATTGGTTGAAGGCAGTAAACGAGGGATGCGCGGGCGCTTTACATAATGGAC